GATGATGGCGACGATGATGACTAATCTCGTATATCTGTCTCTTATACACATCTAGATGTGTATAAGAGACAGAAGAAAGATAGAGAGAGAGAGAGAGAGAGAGAGAGAGAGAGAGAGAGAGAGAGAGAGAGAGAGAGAGAGAGAGAGAGAGAGAGGAAACCTGGCAGGGAAGGGAAGTGGGGCTAGGCCAACAGTAAGATCTGCCGCCCATGTGGCTTTTCTGTCATGTTATTAGGCTATGGAGCACGGACACAACAAGCCACTATTTCTATGGTTATGCCTAACGTGAGGACTTTTTTGGCTCTGCAGATTTGGGGAACTGCCATTTTGCAGAAGCAGTATAACTGCCGGGATTACGTAATTGCCGTATGTGTGACAACGGGATGCTCGCTTTTTCTGTTAACAGGAGTGAGTGGCTGTCTGTCAATCTCTCTCCTATGACCCTACTTCCATCCAAACCACTCACAGGACACTTCTTTTTTGTTTTTCTCCTAGTGCTTTGTGCTGTTGCTCTGATTTATCTACTTGTCACTTTTCCTATCATCTGATGAGAGTGAAGTGTGTGGTTGGTGCACCAATTGTTCTTCACACTTCCACAACGTCCCTTCTCATGACCACCAATGACTTCTATCTCATTCCTATCTTCTACCACTTTCTCCTCATTTTGGTCTTCTAAAGCTATTTCCACCATCTTTTTTTTTTTTTTTTAAAAGAATCTTTCCCGTGTCATCAGAATGGAGTGATGATAAGAGCATACACTCCTTCCTAACTAACGGGAGGCTCCAATCTATTGGTGGGGAGCAACACCCGCCGGGAAGTGGGTCCAGCGTCCCCTTGGATACAATTGTATAGAAAGTCCAAGTAGACCAAAATAGCTGCACTTCAGACACAGCTTCCCCCAAGGCTAATACTACTGAACTAGCTTTGTGCCTCTTCACCCAATCCGAGCGCCAGAAAGACTTGAATACCAAGCACTTAACCAGTTGTAACCGTAGTACCATCAGCAGAGGAAACCATACTCTTGTACTTTCAAAGGATCTATCCATACCGCGCAGCGGGCACAAGACAGTTACTTGGAGGGGGGGAGAAATCAAGGAATTCAGAAAGAGATCTTAGAGGAATAGCAGGATCGACAGTACTCCAATCATTGAAAACCAACCGGTAATTCCTTTGAAGAGGCTCCTGAGCATTCTCGTGTCCTCTTTCCCATATTACATTCCCCAACCTCCCTCCTTGGTCCCCCTCCCGCCAACTTCTGTTGAATTGATTAATGAGGTGCCAGATCTCATTTTGTAAGGATAAATGTTGGATTTCTTCCTTTAAGTGTTCCCATTTTATGGATAATTCTGTTTGAATCTGCTGTTTGATAGTATCGGTAAAGTCTGGTCCATCGAGATGCCCACTTTCCATTTCATAGGTGCACCGTCTTAACCAGATTGCCCAAATGATCGCCCTCCTTCCAATTAAGAATAGGTTAGTCGTGAATTCATCTGCTTGGTCGGGATGCCAGGTTTCCAAAAGGAGAGCTTTCCATTCCCACGGCCAGGGTTGAGTGGTGCCCAGCTGATTCCAGATCCTATCCCACCATCTCCAGAGCCAGACCGACCCCGGGCATTGAAGGAAAATATGCTCTATTGTTTCGGGGATGAGCTTGGAGGGAAAAGCTGATTTACAAAACTTGCACCATGGGTGAGCTATGCCTTTCTGTTCTAACGAAGTTCTATCAATAATCCAATCATTCGTAAGGAGGCATATGTGAACACTTTGTCATTGTAAGGAGGCTATCTTGGCTGGTTTGGTTCTAGAGGTTTGGAACCACTTAATCCCTCTCAATTTGTCCTTACTTATGTTGAGATTTTGATGCCATCGTTCTTCAATACGGTCTTTTAAATTAATTCTGGGCCGGAGCATTCTATAAGAGGCTTTGACTAAGAGGGTGTGTAAGGTCCTAGGATGTGAATGCCCCTGTTTCCTTGGGGAGGACCAAATCCAGTTATGTGGAGCGAACAGGAGGTGAGAGATTGGCATCTCTGGCCTAATGGAAAGCCACTTCTCTTTAACTTTCAACACTCTAATCCGAAAGAGTTTCTCATATGTGCACCATCTTATATCATCTTGTTGTCTAGGATTAAGAATTCCATCATCTTGAACATCAAAGATCCATAAGAGAATTTGCTCCGGACTATGAATCTCAATTATGTTCCCAACTATCCCTTTTTTAATACGGATTTTCACCCAATCGCTTTCAAGAAGCTTGGGGCCCTTCCCGCAAGATTCTGATCCAATCCAGGGGGATTAAATCAATTACTTTATCTAGGGCCACACTCTGATGGTGATAGTATCTTAAGCGATCATGAAGGTCTGTGGGCGAACACCAATCTCTACTCTCGTGGTTCCATAAATCTTTAACTCATGTAACTCCTCTATTAATCCAACCTTTCCAAGGGGCATCCATGTAGTGAAGGACACATCCTGGCGCATCTTTGATAAACGTATTATTAAATAACGGTTGTTGATAAACCTCCTCCCATCTCATCGGGGGTACTTTATCTGGAAGGGGCAGCCTCCTCCAGTTCTTAATTGAAGTAATCCAAAAAGGATCCCTACAGAGATCTCTCCTTACTGCTTGTCTATATAAGAGCTCCACTTGATGTAGATCCCCTGGAGAACCTCTAGGCAGAGACTAGGAGAGGTTCTCTAGCCACATAAGGGGATCTATCTCAGCAGGAACCGGAGGGGCTAACCTTTTGATTTGTTCACACGCGATGAGGACCAAGGAGTGATGGGATTAAAGATGAGACGTTTGATCCATTGAAGGGAGAGAGCTATAACTTGGATTTGGGGATCAATGATCCCAAGGCCCCTTTGGATTTGGGTTGGATTATAAAAAGCCATAGGAAGGTTGCTAGTTGCCGTTGGAATGTCTTTAGGGTACCCTTGTCTAAGGCCCAGATAGCAGATTTATACCAGATGGAGGCCAATATAACATTATTAATTACCAGAGTTCTGCCAAATAAGGATGTATGTTTGTCCTTCCACAAATCAAGTTTCAACTTGGCTTGTTGTAGAATCCCTTCATTGAGAGTAGTAGGTTTGCCTGTTGCTGAAAGAGACACTCCCAATATTCTGATTGGTTCATTATGATGAGCCCACTTAATACGAGGATGCTCAGGGGGTCTCACACCTTGATGGTGAATCCACCATCCAAGTGTTTTATAACCCCAATTAACCTTGATGTCTTAAGTTAGCAGTTAGGGCTTCCATAATGATCACGAAGAGGAGGGGTGCAATTGGGTCACCTTGTCTCATTGATCTCTGGAATGTGATAGGGGGTGCCACATTTCTATTAACCATTACTCTTGTTGTGGCATTCCTATGCAAGATATTGATCCATCTCCTAAAATGTGGGCCAAAATTGAGTTTTTCTAGGCATTTGTCTAAGAAAAAACAGTCAACATGATCATAGGCTTTCTCAAAGTCAATGAATATGAAGGCTGCGTTATGCCAGGATTGACGAGAAAGCTTGATGAGCTCATTAATGAGCAGAATATTGTCCTGGATGTTCCTTCCTTGAATAAAACCAGTTTGAGAGGGATGAATTATATTCGCGATGTACTTATTTAGACGATTAGTAAGAGTTTTTGAAATCAATTTGTAAACCACAGTTAGTAGTGTAATGGGACGATAGTTCCTGATATTATATTTATCACCTTTCTTATAAAGTAATGTCAACACCTCTTGCCCTACCATCTCTCCCATCTCACCTGCATCCCATACTACCTGACAGAAATCCATAAGATCTTGGGAAATAAAATCCCACAAGGCCTCCCAAACTTCTTTAGGTAATCCATCAATCCCAGAAGTTTTTTCTTCCTCCATTAGTAAGAGTGTTGTCCATATTTTCTCTTTTGTAAGGGGCAACTTCATTTGTTCCCTCGGTTCTAAAGATAGTGATTTAGTCAATTGGGTAAGAAAATCCTCTACTTCCCTAGAGTGTAGATCCAAGGACATATCCCTATTTTCTGATTAAAAAAAGGTCCTTGAAAAAGTCCCTAGCAATTTTAGTGCATGCAGCTGTTGACGAGACTGGTGGGCCGTTGAGGGATTGAGGATGAGCCAATGCCTCTATAAAAGTTCTACCAGTGCGGGCCTTAGCCATGACAAAGAATCTTGCATCCATGACTCCTTCCGTGTGATGTTTTCAAATTCTACTTTGAATCCTCATACCTTGTCATCTATATTCCATATGAGAAAGTAATCGAGATTCTAATTCTTGTAATTCCCGGGCCGTATTATCAATAATTTCTAAATCTCTTTCATCAATTTTTAAGAGTTGTAGTTGTTGAATACGTTGGTAAGTACGTGTTTCATGAGAATGTCGTTCAACTGCTAATAATTTTGAATATTCATTGCATTTATGACCTAGAAAAACCAGACCGATGTTGAACCATTGGATGTCGTTATTTATGGTGGCCTTCTGATTTCTCCAGAAGGACCACACATCCTTGATAAAAGTTCTGAATATTTCAATCTTAAGATGAGTTGTATTGAGTTTATAGTAACCCCTTCCTTGGTCTGGTTTCTTTCCAAAGGAGAGAATAGCATGGTCTAGTCCAAGGAGGGGGCTACGAGGGAAAATTTCGGCTACTTGAAGAGCACCTTCCAGAATGAGGTCTATCCGTGACTTAGTGGACGATCTGGCTTGGTTGTTCCAGTAGCATGTATAAGAACGCTGAGACAGATTCATTATCCTAAAAGAGTCAAAAAGGTTTAACGATTGAGAGAAGTTAGCCATCAAAATCTCATCTGATTCCACGTAAGCTGGACAGGGAGTGGGAATATTCCATCTATTAAGGGACCGGTCCGGAGCGGCATTAAAGTCATCTGCTATAATGATCGGGATTCCTACAGGGAGGAGGAGGGGGAGGGATTCAAAAAAGCGTTGGCGTTCCACGGTATCATTGGGTCCGCATATACACAGGATGCTGACTACCTCCAACTCCATCATTGCCAAAATGTATACCCACCTGCCTTCCACTTTGTCAGTTTCCCAGTATACCGGTTCTACCTTGGATCCTTGAGGGATCCAAATGGCTACTCCAACACTCCCAAGGCGAGGGGCGTGAGCTTTGAACGCTGTAAAGGGCCAGATTTGTTTGTGACAGTGGTTATGATGGTCTGAATCCATGAGGTGAGTCTCCTAGATGCAAGTCACATCAGGCCACTCTCTTCTTCCAATACCTCTCAACTGATCATAAATTGCTTGTTTTTTTTGGTACTTGGCTGATGCTAGACCATTAACGTTTAGAGATCTGAGGTCAAGGTCCGCATTCCTCCTGAGTAATTTCCATGTTTTATCTTTGTTATAAAGGGCGTCAATTACTCGAAGGTTATCCATACCATAAAAA